AAATTTTTAGCAGCAGTCTCATTTGAGGCTTGTTGAGTACCGTATTTCGTCTCATTTTGGCTAAACGGGTGAAACACTGATCTCGGGCTTGAGACGGAAAGGAGATGGATTTTCACAAGTTATTCAAACATTTCTTTTAAAGCAGATAACTTACGGAAATAGTAATTCCCAAGGCAAATGGTTCTTCCCTGGTTTTCCTCGTTTTCCAGGCAGAACCGCTCAGTATACTCGTCAATATAACGTACGGATTCAACTGGGGACTACACTCAAGTTTAGAAAGAGAAAGAAACACTCGTCGCTTACGTCCTCCATAAAACGTGAAATTAGGCTTTTTCACCTCGTAGTCGTGCAACGACGGCAAAGAATGTCCAAAAAGCGTGACGCACGTGCAAAGTTATTGTTTTGCTTAATTTATTTGCTTTCTGACGTTCTCGTTGCCGTAGCTGTTGTCCTTACATAAAGCTCCCTATTGTCACTATTAGCACAATAAAACCAGTGTAACCCCTCAGTAAAGTTGAGGTAAGCATGGGGTTCCAGAGTTCATTAAGGGGATGTCTTAACCGCATTTCGGGTATCCTGGTTGAAAATTGAACGTAAACAAACGAAGACGAATGTACGTACTCGTAATGCAATGCAAGCAAATTCAATCTCATACCGGAAAACGACAAGCGAGAGCTTCTCTTCACCGACTCTGCGTAATTTTTAGCCTGTGGGTGAAATGCAGTACTTTTACGTGGCACTATCTATTTAGCTTGTTGTTCTAAATTTTAGCATAACGGGTTCTCAGTGGGTTCTTAAAAACCGGGTTTTTACTCGCGAGTTTTTTTATTGTGTACCTAGAGCAAAAACTTTACCCTTTGACTGTTCCAAGGTGGTAGAAAGTTCGAGACATTACTATGATCGAGAAAAATCGGCATTCTGTTGAAGAATGTTTATAACTTAGGAAGACACGCTTCCGGCCTGAAGTTAACTCAGCTAACTGTACTTCTATAATACAATTACAAAACACCAACAATAGACATACCCCGTATTTGTTTATTTAGGTCGAATAGTAGATTTGTCTTAAGAAGCATCGCCAGACGGAATTTATGATTAAAAAGATAAGAATTAAAGAGAAAGCAAGAGTGCAGGACGCTTTGTCTTTTAATAGGCCACCACTTGCAAGCCACCGATGTCCGTCAGACGTTGGCCTGGGTGATAGCGCTGAATATGACCTCCATTAACTTTTTATAAACATTTTTGAAGATAGCTCGTATATAGCTGTGATGAAAGTTATGTTAAGTCACATGTTACGTAAATCTGATTATTATTATTTTTTTAATTAAATGTCTGATGACCAATTTCAGTAATATGGGAGAATAACAGCTTGACACCACAACGAAAACGCGCTCTGTAGTTTATAAAAATAATATATAGATTTAGCCAGGGCTAAAAGCGTAGCTCTAGTCAACAAATTTATCATTTAAATAAAACTAGGGAGATCCATATGACGTTTAAGGGTGGGGCTGGGTGACTTAGGAGAAAAATTATTTTGAAAAAAAGAAATCACCTTTGGTCACCGTAGATTAGGAGCGGAAACCAAATTCTTCCCAAGCAAAATCACCTTTATTTTATGCTATAAAGGCCGTAAAAACACGATAGTCCCCGGTGGCAGCCAATTTACTCGGTATAATTTATCGGTGTTATCTCTCTGTCTAAAGGAAAGGCCAAAATAAAGGCCGGAGTTTTTGTGTATGTGGCTCGCTACAAGTCTGGTAGCGCGTAAACCAGCCTTTCTACACCATCTTTGAGGTAAACAGAACTATTAGGAATTGTTTGTTTTCAGACCTTGGACAGAATTTGTCATTTTTTTTTTAAATTATAATTAACTAGTTTGTTAAAGAATAATCTTACAAGACAAATTGCACTCATTCAATATTCAGGACGATCGAAGCACGCGCTTCCCTTGCACAATATATTATAAAAATAACGTCATAAAACGTTTTTTATAGAGAATTCACCATTAGACGGGACTGTTCAGTCAGGTCAATCTGCCATTATGTAGTAAGCAGGGTAATAATGGGCTTTAAGCAAAAACTTTTGAAAAAAAATAAATTTTAACTCAATTTACAAAATCATGCACCCGTCCGACCAGCCAATTCTAAATTGTCGAGTATTTGAATGGACGCTGGTAATGAGGAAGAGGTCCCAGAATCATTTTCGTTTTCATTTTACTTCTAAAAGGACTACAATTTTTTATTTACGAAGACGTGTATTGAGAGTGAAGTGTCTATGATTATCCTGAGTCACGAATAAAACCTTTCAGATAAGTCTTAAGCCACCTTCGCCGTGTTTGCTATTTTTCAAGGTGAACTCCAGGTAAGAAAATCGCTCAAAGCTTTCTTTTTAGAAACAATAGAATAACTAAACTATTTTTCAGAACGTTTTCTTTCTAGTGGCGGTCAGAAAATGTCTAAAGACTTTCTCAGTTCTTTACTAATTTACTCAACTTACCGGTCGAGATGCAGCTCAGAAACCCATCAAGTAATTAAGACTTTTTGCA